CCTCAGATTTGAAGATCCTATATGTTTTGTTTTTTTGATCCTCATGCAGAAGAAACCAATACAAAACAAAAAACCCCTGTACCTCTCCCCACCCTAGAAAAGATAAACTGTTTTAGATTTTTGGTGCTCTGTAAGAATCTAATGGGTAACAAGCTGAAAATGATTCAATGACAGTACACAGCTTTTTTGTATATATATGAAAACAACACAGTAAATGAGAATGGCGTGTAAATATTAGTTATGGGGCCAATCAGTCTTTATCCCACAAAGACTAACTATATGTTGCTAACTGGTATAAATTTCAGTTCTGTGTAACACTTCTAGACAGCCATGTGTTGGTATAAAGAAAAACACGTTGCAAATATTACTCCATTTTCTCTTTCATTTAATTGCCTTTTTCTGTTTTCTTTTTAAGAAGTTCTATTACTCTCCAAAATTTAGACCTTAAATTAAAAATGTCTCTAACTCCATTTATTAAATCCTTATTGAGCATGTCTATTAATTTACTTTTAAAACAATATACTATCAGACAAAAATCCATAGGTTTTTGAGTTGAGAACTAATTCAATTTGTGGGTGGTATATATTTACACATACATTCTCAGTAGCTGTTAATTGAGCTGATTGGTATAAAACAAGCTAGACTATGTCTTTTGTAAAAGTAACTGAAAACAGCAGTCAGTATGTAACATGATGTACTGCACTGAGTATAGTTTGCAAGCTCAAAACTCTGTATCTACAACCTAACCTTAAGGTTATCTAGATGTAACACTGTGGCTCTGTGTGAGACTGTATCCTTATTTACTGACCAAAACTGTAGAAACTGCTCTAATATATCCAGAATTAGTCATGTGGCTCTTCCTGAGTTTGTCTCAAACCATGGACTCTGGAGAGGAGGAATGGGTGTCTACAGGTCAAAAATTAAGTTTCCTGTGCCCAGTGTGCAAGACATCAAGCTCTTAAATAAAAAGGGAGGCTGAGATGTTAGCAGTAGAACACAGCTGTTACCATACAAGGTCCTTAAGCCAAATAAGCTCAAGACAAACTGCTGTTAGTTCTAAAAGCAGGCAGTCATGGTGTAGACAACTGGAAAGTTTACACCTTAGAAGAGACTTGGTTGTTGATGTTGTCACTATAGATCTTGCTCTAGGGGCCTGGCAGAATTTTGTACTGAGATTAAGTTTCTACAATCTCAAAGGCCAGAACAATGAGATATTTTCCTTTCTTTTTGCCCCTGCATGCTGTCTTTCATAGGATATTGAAAAGCAGGTGTGCTAAAGCTGGTGTCCTTTATGTGCATTGCAACAGAAAGAGGACTGAGAGGTTCCAGAACAAGATAGTATTAAGTACAGTCAGTCTTCATTTATATTGTTCAGTCATGACCATAATTATATAGCTAAACCAAACCTAACATGGTATTCCCTCTCATGAAACATTGTTTGTGATCGCTTCAATTCTTCCTATACACACAGTGCTTGCCATGAAAAATTCAGTATCTGATTAGAAAATTATCTGAGCAGGTTTTTCAAAAAGCCTGTTCTTGTTTTTAAAAGATTGACTTTTACTTTTACTTAGCAGGCTTGTAAGATCAAGGATCCACTCTTTTTTTTTTTTTTTTTCCCCAAGCACTGTATGACTGCAGAGCTCAAATGTACTATAATCTATCTCAGATAATTTGCGTATGAAATGACACAATTCTGAGGTAGATCTCTCCACTCTTTGGGCATATCAATTTTTCATTTCTGTTATCATGGAGTATCCCTAAAGTAGAATCGTGTTGGACGCAATTCTTCCCTTTCCTGTGGACTACTAGAATTGCTGACTTCTAACCATTACTAGCCAATAGTTTTCAAAGAATAATTCTAACTTTTATTTGGGCAATGGCAAAGAGGGAAAACATGACACAGCTTTTGTAAACCTAAAACCCCCTCATTTTAAGTCTAGTTTTTCAAGTGTTTCAAACACCTGTAGATGTTAGAGATTAAGTAAAGAGACTGTATCTGGAATTTTAGAATAAACACTAATAGAGATGAGTGAATGGGAAGAGTACCCATTAACAATGATCAAGGAGATCAACCTGCAAAACTGCATCAACTTACTTGAGTACTGGTTTCCTTTTTGTTTTACACTTATCTTCTTGATTGAGGTAGAATGTTCTGCATTTGCATTAGTAGGAATGTAGTCAGCTGATCAGGGAAAGTGATTATTCCTATAATAGCATTTATTAGACCACATGTAAATACTGTGAGCAGTTCTGGGCTCCCCCAATACCTGAATAAACTCAAGCAAGTGTCACCAACCTGCTTGGAGTCTGGAGTGCAAGACTTGTGAAATGAGATTTGGGAAGCTGGGCTTTTCTAGCATCAGGCAAGAGTGGTTTCCCTACTAGACACTTTATAATACTAGGAGCTGATCAAAAAAGGTGGAGCCAGGCTCTTTTCAAAGCTGCATAGTTCTTTACACTGTGAAATTTGTTTACACTTCAGCATGACCTGAAGAAAAAAAGAGATATTCATTTGGAAAATTAAACACAAGAATATATTGCCTAGAGAAGTTGTGGAATTTTTATCTTTGGAGGTTTTTTTGAGACCAGACTGGACAATCTTCTGTTCTGAATTAGTAGTTGATATTACCTAAGCAGAATGCTGGATTATATGACCTCCTGAGTGATCCTGAATTTGTTCTGTAACTCTACAAGTTACAGATGTTTATTGTAACAGGTGAAATAACTTAAAACTTAAACAAGTGTGTAGTACATACAAAATCTAATTTATGGATCTATAGCTTAAGATTCTTACATCAGACAAACTAATATCGAGCATTAAAATAAAGTGGGACAATATTTATCCATAATAAGACAGTTTCATTTTCCTTTCTTGTATCTTATTTGTCTTATATATTTTTAAACATTCTTAAGTAGTAGAAGTAGTAGAAGACATTTTCTATCCTGTGTGTGGATTGAAAAATTCTAAATCTATAGGATATGACTAGGTACTAGACTGATGCTAGGAGTCATATCACAGTGTTTCATTCTCCTAAAGCCAGCTCTTGTGTCAGGTTTTTCCTTTCTTTGCAAATACAAATAATTTTTTGTCTTTTCATAGTATTATAAAATAACTAGATAAGATAGTACAAGAACAAAAAGGTAAAGTTATCAACTTATGTTTCAGATTGTTCAGTCAAATTTCAGCTACTAAATATAATGTCTCCAGATTTATATTTATTTTGAAAATCTTTGTTTGTCTAGAAAACATTGTCCTCACAAGAACAAGATATTTTCCAGTTTCTTCAAATACCTCTCAGCATAAGACTAGAAAAATCTGCTTCAGTTTCACTGAGTGCTTGGTTTGTGTTTTGTTGGCTTGATGACAAAACAATGTGAAAAATACTAATCTTTTTAACAAGATGGTAAACTTCTGATCTAGTTTTACTACCAAGTAATAGAAGAATTCAGATCAGAATGTTTAATTAGAATCCAATCAACTTTTTTGAACAGCATATCAGTATTATTTTGGAGAACCGAATGGAACGTTTCTTTGCCAAGTACAAATCTTTGAGAGGTGTTTTAACATTACATTAGGAGGATAAAAGTAAAACATTTTATTTTCTGAATTTTTATGTGCTTGAAATATTGTGAAGAAAATTGTATTTTCTGAAGTGATAGATGCATTATTCAGATAACGTTGATTACATGATAGATTTTAAAGGAGTTCTTTCATAGATGATGCCTATCCCAGTTTTTTTAACAGAGTGGCTTTAATGATTTGAGAAATTAGGAAAATACATTAATACTGATTTGGTAATTAAACTCTGTAATATTATTGATGATTGTACAGGTTACATTCTACTGTGTTGCAGTGATATTCATTTTTTTGTTCAAATATGTTATGCACATGTATCAAAGATTTAAAGACAAGATTTATGCATAAAAGTCCCTATCAACAATGTGTCTTCAACACCAGGCATGATGATTAAATCTCTTAATTAATTAGAATAATCCTGCACATTGGAATTAAAATTTAAAGCTGCAAAAAGATATAATGAGGAAGTGAAAGAACTGCAAATCTGATTTTCTGAATGGAATTGTATAGAAAATAATTTACCTAGACATGTTTGCTTGTTTAAGCTATACTTGATAAAATCATATTTAGATATGAATCCATCATAATGCACAGCAATGTCAAAGTAATGAATTAAAATAGATTGATTGTATATGCTATGCTTGTAATCTCTTGCCAGACTCAGGCATCATTTTATTATCTTTGTTCTACCTACTTTTGAGATAATTAATTTCACTGTCTTTTTCTTTTTCTTTTTCTTTTTTTCTTTCTTTTCTCAGAGCCTGGCCCTGCAAGGTGCTTGTGAGTGTCCCCAGCTTCTTTTGGAAAGCCTTTCCAGGGATGCTACTGTGCACCTCACAGGACAGGATGCAATTGCTTTAATTTGCTATAGTAATTTTTTATGTGAATTATACAGTTTAGTTCCCTTGTCTGGTGTTTAATGATGCCACTTTTACTACCAACTATTTATTTTATGTTACGTTCATTATTTGTAGTTTTACTGAGAAAAAAACTTTTGCCTTAATGAATAATATTTTTTTTCTGTTTAATTACTCTGATTTAACACGTATTTTCTTTCAAGATGCAAAATATTGACACAGTGGTTGTAAGGACCTAATCTTAGATGGTACCAAGTGCCTGTAATTCCATTGATGTTAATAGAAGAAGAAATGCTTTGACGTTTACAGGTGGCACTCAGAACCTTTCAAAGCCTAACTATTTACAACTTCACTATTATCAGCAATAGCTAAAAATGTGAATCTTCATTATTTTCTCAACTAATATTGTTGTTAAGTATAGTGCAGCCATACTGTAAAAACTTCCAATCAGTATTTCCTTTATAACCATTCTTGGTTTTCTTTTTCTTTTGCAGCAGATTTGCTGGATAGACTTTCTGCTGGCTGTGTTTTAAATCTGTTCTTTTTTCTGTCAATTACCACAG